CAGACCCTGGGGGTCTTCAAGCTGGCACTGGACAAGCACCTAAAGTCGGCTCCTGACAGCCGGGCTGTGGCTCGTACGTTGGTTTGCGTGCAGCCATCAGCAACAGCCTGGGTTGATCAGGGTCTGATCCACCAGAGGCCTGGTCACAGACCGGGCCGCGGGGGCTTTGACCCCCGGAACTCTCTCCAGGTGAAACTCCAGGATTATTTGATAAAATTTTTTCGCTGAACTAAAGATAATATTTTTTTATTTTGGACCAAACTTACTGAGAAATTCACGATAACCATATTAATAGCATAAAATTCTTTTACCTAAATTCTGCTACGTACAACCAAGGGGCAGTTTAAATATTTTAATATTCTACCCAAAAAAATTTATTTTTTAGTTATGCTCTAATGAATTTCGCTGATTTATGGCAAAAACAAATTTATTCTGCAATTGGTAAAGACACCTTGGCCGAATAGGCGCATTTATGTTCGTTCTGTAATAGGATGACCAGAACTGTGCAGCATAACTAAACGGAATCTAAATTCAACGATATTCAGAGTTGAAGAATAAGCGGTCACAACAACACAATTTCGTTGACAAAGAACTGTTTGCCGAATCGAAAAATGTCAGTAGGTTTTTCAATTGGCTCTAGTTTGTGAATTACATACCTACCCTCGTTAATAGGGAACTTGGCAACAACGCGTGTATATGTAGTGACAATTTGTATATACAGATATTTTTAATAAAAATTATAATTTTATTTTTAATTGATTTAATATTTAACAAAAGAAGTTGTCAACAACGGCCACCTGATAACACTGTAACCTTAATTTTGTTATTTTTTTTTCAGAGAAACTTGATGTCTTTACGAAGAGCCTGCTTAAACAATCCCAATGCATTTTGCTACATTTGTGGCAAATACTCTTTGCAAAAAGCAAATCTTGCTTATTTTGGAGTGGCTCTTGGAGAATAAAACAAGTCTTGGGGTTCCCATATGGTTTGCAAAACCTGTGTAGAATGCTTATGACAGTGGAAAAATAGGCAAAGGAAAAATTTAAACTTGGGTGTGCCTATGGTGTGGAGAGAACCGAAAAACCACCACGACGATAGTTATTTCTGTATGGTGAATGTGGAAGGTTTCAATCGATACAAGAAAGTGGAAATATCCCGATTCGGAGTCACCTAGGGGACCTGTGCCACACAGCGAAGATGTTCCCATACTAGTGTTTACAACACTGTCTGACCTTCTATTGTCAAGGTTTAGGAAGTAACAAAGGTGATAATAGTAAAAGTGAATATGAATTAAGCATTTTCAACACCCCACATTCTCCCAAAAAAACTCAAAATCTGATACGTGACCTCAGTCTGTCAAAACAAGCATCTGAACTTTTAGTATCCAAACTAAACGAAAAGAACTGTCTACAACAAGTTACAATAACAGCTTATTGGCAAGAGAGGTTTAACTCCTTCCTTACTTCCCGTCAAAATGAAGAACTTTTATCCTGCAAAAAACATCCCCGGACTTCGAATGAGACTTTAAATTTGACCAAGATTTGGGGGCTGTTTATAGAGAGCTCCATTAGAAGTTTGAAATGTATCTTATTGTACAATGGTAACCAATATGTATCTCTTTCCCAAATTTCTCACCAAAAATTTTTAAAAATACGAAAATATCTAAATGGTTTTTTCAGAAGCTTTGCGATCATGAGCACAAGATTTTTTATTTGTGTTGATCTGAAAATGGTAAACTTCTTGTTTGGGGCAGCAGAGTGGACATACAAAGTATCCTTCTTCATCTGCTTGTAAGACAGTAGAGTGACGGCAGTCACTGGACAAAGGTGGCATGCTGCAGCTACATGACTTAGCTGCAGCAAACATCATTAACGAGCCATTGGGTTACAAGCATAACATTATTCTGCTACCACTCCACATTTTAAATTAGGAAATGAAGCAATCACTAAAGCCTTGGACAAAGATGGCAACTGCTTCAAATACATTTGTAGACCGTTCCCTGGGCTAAGTATGGAAAACTGAAAGTTGGAATCTTGATGGCCCTCAAATTCGAAAACTTTTCAAGGATTCTAATTTCACAAAATGTATGAATGGGGTTGAAGTTTCTGCATGGTGCAGTTGTGTGTCAGTTGTCAAAACGTCTTGGGTATCACAAAGCAGACAATTGTGAAGAACTAGTGCAAAACTGCTGATAAGCTTTAGAATTTACGTACTAATATGAGCTAAAGGTATACTTTCTTCTCCCCAGCCACCTAGACAGATTTCCACATAATCTTGGCGAGGTCAGTGAGGAACAAGGGAAGAGGGTTTCCCGCAAGATATAAAGTGACAGAAGAAAATCGAACAAACGATTTTATGTGCAGTAATTAAGGTGCCAGAATTATCTTACTATGCTAATCTGTTATTATATAGAATGAAGTGCTAGTATGTTTACATGATTTGACTTATGCTGATCTAAAAAAATAATTTTTTAAAGCGATTTGTAATTAGCCCCACCTGATCAATAATTTTCTAATCTTTTATGTTTCTCATGGAATAACCAAATTTATCAAAAACTAGAGCCATCAAGCAAAACCGATGACATATCGGAATCAGCATCACAAATTTACCCTAAAATCGGGGTAAAAATCATTACCAGAAAATGCATGTTCACAAGAAGTATAAATTTAAGTTCTAGATATGAAGCTAAGATTTCTATTTGCTTTATTAGTAATAACATAGGCAACATTTAGGCATCTTTATTCCGAAACGTTTCGAATAAAGATTGGGTAAATGTTGCCTATGTGTCTACTTACCAACTTTTCGGTATTGTATACCTTTTTGATATTCATTTGCTTTATTGCGAATAGAATTCTTGTTTGCATTGAGGATGTTTGTGAACCCATTTTCAGTTATTAACGTAGTATGGTGGGAAGTGAAGCTGTACCAAAGTCTATTTTTTAACGTTACTCAATTTTTTTTTTAAGCATTGTGGGGTAGAGTTCCTAAGAGCTTCAAGAAAAGAATTCTATAAAGACGCCTCTCCTGGTCCAATTTACCTACTTACCTGATCTCTGCCACTATATATTCTGCTCGTCTTAGTTTCTCTGTAATTGTACTGAAGAAGCCACTCAACGGGAAACGTCTTGGTCAATGCAAAAGTGCTTTTTATCTAAAAACTTCTCGGTATCAACATTCCACTACCAAAAGAAGGTTCTGCCGTCGGGTCCCAGGGAATCCCACCGAGTCACAATGACTCGATGGGATGGTGGCAGGACTTTAAATCAGTTATGCAGAGCAAAGGTAAAATTTGCACAGTCACAAAGCACAGATGACAACAGCAAAAAGTAACGACTGAACGGGTATTAACCTCAACAGGTAAATAACAAAAAGGCAGAGTAACGTGACTTGAACAATACACACATAATTGTGTGTTTTTTGAAATGGCCAAGTCGGACCGAAACGTCGTCGTAAGCTCCCTCTCTTATGTGCGGGTTATTTGTGTACTCAACATGTAGTATTGATTAAAAATTTGTAAGTCGGTAAAATATAAAACGAAAATTATATAATTAAATCAAATATATATGCCTCAGTACACATGATAAATGTACACTTGCCTAAGATATTCCTAACAAGGTGATGACATACACACCTAGCTGGATTATTAGCTGACAAGGTAATACCAGACACATGTAACTGGATTATTACCTGACAAGGTGATGACATATACACGTAGCTAAACATTACCTGACAACCTACACAGAAACACACACACACACAGTGAAGTGCTAATTCAAGCATCAATAAAAATTTTAAACAAAAGGAACGGAAAGGCTAGAAATTTTTTCCCCTATTTCCATCTTTTCTTGGTAATGTAGAGATGAAGGTTAAACTGCCTGAAAGTACACAGCTAGTAGCTTTCTTATGTGCTTATAATATTTTTTTTACATGTAAACTACATGTATACTGCAGAAAAATTATTATTACTATTAAAAATGGAGCCCATGCTTATAAGTTGTGATGCTGGTGTTAAATTATTTTATTATAATCAAAAAGAAGCGCTAAGCCACTGCTGGGGTTAAAGAACCCTTGACTTACGTCTTCTGCGGACAGAAGGGGCCAGGAGCCGAGACTGGACCCGGGGTAACTACAATCAGGTGATTACATCATTACCCCGCCAAACCCTTTCCCCCCACATCCTTTCTTTTAGTCACTGGTTTAGTGGCTGATCGTTGCAGCACTGAACTACCAACACACAGGTCTCTTCTGACTCTCAATGAGGCGGCAATGTTAATTCTTATTATCATTCTTCTTCTCCAACCTATTGTTAATATTCCCCTCAAGGAAGGCTCCTTGACGCTGGTGAGGGGCTCTTGATCTAGGGAATTGGATCTGATTTCGGTTCCTGAATTGAGCCTGAATACCTTCCATCCCCCATATGTGCTGTACAATCCTACGGGTTTAGCGCTCCCCATAATTATAATAATATTAATATTATTGTTATTATTATTATTATTATTATTATTATATGAAAAATAAAGCTCGTGTGGGTCATTCAGCATAAGGAATGGTGCAGGATTGATCCTCCGTCCACTGATCCGGATACAGTTACGTTACTTAACCTTACTCATCTAACTAATTCATTTTAAATATGCCAGTTTTTGAAGTGTAACTATATACGTAGTGGCTTGCCCTTTAAAACGCTGCTGTTTTATCAATCCAGCTGTAGCTACCTTACACCCGTGGAAAGGTTGAGTGGTGACTACTGTGCTAGTACTGAGAGCCACCAACTTGCCTGCACCAAGGGACAAAGTCAATAAGAAAAGGTGTGTGTGTGTGTGTGTGTGACCACAAAGGTACTAACACGTAGAGAAGAAAGTCATTTCCTGAGTGTCATAACTCTTGCTTTACATTCCATTACTGAACTGCTACATTGGTTGGAGATAGGCAAATTTGATAAGGTTATCTGGCAATGACGCATTTGTGCACGCCATGATTATTTGAAGAGGGCAGCCGGTGGTGCCGGAAAATAATCTGCTGCGTGTCTGCAAGCAGTTCATAACACCCGTGAACCTTACTCGCACCTCCAGCACCAAGACATAGGCAGAAAGTATATGTGTATTAGCTTATATATGTATAAGTTATTATTATATATATATGCACTATATATATTTATTTTTCACCCAGTGAGAACTTAAGTAAATAAAGGTGAAACTTTTTGGCCCGAAGGCTGTTCCCCGTGTGCTTGCCTGAGGCGAGACGTTAATACTGAATATAAGTAACTATGACATGGCGGCCAGACTATGACGATGAAGGAGGAGGGAGAGCCATGAGGCTCTGGCATTCCATGAGCTCCTGGGCCTCCTCGACTCACCTGCTCGCTAAGGTAGGTGGGAACCTCAGTGTCATCATCGTTACCACCTTCCTACTGCTGGCTTCCTGTATGCCTGTCACCTGCAGGCATCTCACACTCGCGGCACCCCCCACCTTGCAGGAAGCAAGCCCGCCCACCGCCCACGCCAGCAAGTACTCCCACACACTGGATCTTCCTGGATCAAGAACCTCCTTCCCGGCACAAAAAACACTTGCAGCTGCTGTGCCTAATACTTCTAATGACAAATCGGGTAGGTGTATTATAATGAGTGTTTCAGCGTCCCTGCAAGAAGGGTTCCTTGGTGCCGGTGACTGGCTCTTGATCGAAAGAATTCCAGCTCTCCTCTTCCTGGAATCAAAACTGTTTAGTTCCCATTTCCAGGCAATATATGACCCCAACGGGTTTAGTGCTTCTCCATGAATGTACTTGTCACACTAGAGCCAGCGGCAGATGGACGGTGTTCCTCCGTGTGGTTTATTAGTTGATTTAATTAAATGAGTTTAAGGTTTATCAATTACACGAGGGTCACTAGAGCTGCATGCCACCTGTTCACCATCAGTCAAGAATACTTTAATAAATAAAACTGAAATTCAAGTCTCAGTGTACATACACTGAGACGTATACCTCACAGTGTGTGTGTGTATTTTGCATTTCATGAATATATAACAATCACAAGTTGACCACAGTGGTGATTCCAAACTATTACAGCCAGGGTGACATGCGATCTGCTCCTACTGCTGTTACTATTATTCCTACTACTACTACTACCACTGATACTACAGTTATTGATACTACTGCTACTACTATTAATGTTGTTACTACTATTGCTACTACTTCTCACACTCTTGATATTACTTCCTTTGATGTTATTGTCTGCTGTTTTTTCCGCTGGGGCTGCTCCTTTCGCTGCGGTTACTTCTTCCGCTGCAGCTGCTCCTTTTGCTGCGGTTACTCCTGCTGCGGCTGCTCCTTTAGCTGCGGCTGCTCCTTCCGCTACGGCTGCTCCTCCCACTGTGGCTCCTCCTTCCGCTGCGGCTGCTCCTTCCGCTGCGTCTGCTCCTTCCGCTGCGGCTGCTCCTTCCGCTGCGGCTGCTCCTTCCGCTGCGGCTGCTCCTTCCGCTGCGGCTGCTCCTTCTGCTGTGGCTGCTCCTTCCACTGTAGCTCCTCCTTCTGCTGCGGCTGCTCTTTTCGCTGTGATTACTCCTTCCGCTGCGGCTGCTCCTTTAGCTTCGGTTGCCCCTTCCGCTGCGGCTGCTCTTCCCACTGCTCCTCCAGTTGCGGCTACTCCTCCCACTGCGGCTGCTCCTTCCGCTGCGGCTGCTCCTTCCGCTGCGGCTACTCCTGTTACGGCTGCTTCTGTTCCTATTCCTCCTCCTACTGTTGTGGTTTTTTACTCCCGTTGGTGCTTCCTCCCATTGTTAATCCTCTTGCGTTAAAACATCAGAATAAAGTCTGTATATATATTGGGTACCAAGTTACCAGGGAGCCTCGGTTCGTATCTTGCTGCTGAATAGTTTTGAACGTCAGTTTCTGTAATAAGTGACCCCAATGGAAATAAGTCACTCTGTCTGACTTTTTGGGGTTATCCTAGGTTCTCTACACATATGCTGCTATGTATGATAATTCTATATAACTGTATTTGTGTATACCTGAATAAACTTACTTACATACTTAAAGCGGAAGGAGGATATCTAGAATGATTCATGAACATAAAAATGGGCATTGCCGTAGGGCTACTGACCCATGTATAGCTCTTTTGGCTTAGCGCTTCTTTTTAATAATAATACTGACCCATGCTAGGCAGGTTCAGCTCACTCTCACCCATACTCACATTTGAAGCTACTCCAAGTTCTCATTGATAGTCCGGTCCAAACCAGGTCCTCGCTTGTAGTAGTTCACAGGTTCCAACTTATTGTTACACACACATTTTTATTTATATAAACTAAATAAAGGTATTCTAATAATAACATTCAGAAAGTTTATATTATGATAGTCTATAAATATTAAATGAAATACTCACTGTAATAAAGAACAGAATTTATTTTTGTCTCATTGATGCTACCTAGCAGTTTGTTCCTTTCTA